GTTCGTGAGTAGCATTCTACCTTAAAATGCTTGGACAATAATGCTAAGATACGTACAGTCTTGTTTTTTTGTGTACAACATTTTGCCGTAATGAATCAAGGGTGTGGGTGTGTTTGTCTGTGGGTGGGGAATGGCCTAGGACCTCTTCTCTAAAATGGTAAAATAGTTCAAAAATGTTATGTGGAACAACTTACCAACGTAACACAAAGTAAACCAATTGAATTTAAAATCGAGAATATAAAAATGTATGTAACAGAGCTCAAACACACTTTTTGAATATTATAAAATTCACACGTTTCACATCAAATATATCATTTATTGTTGTTTTCGAACCCCCTATTCAAAAGTGCTGGCTACGGGCCTGATTAATCGTTGAACAAACTGAAGAACACCCGGTAACATGACATTTCACCCCCCCCCCCCTACACACAAACAAACACCATTGGATATTCACAATTTGGATCGAGGGTTTATTAACGATTTGTAATATTCTAAGAAATTTTTTATTATTTAACTTACCATTATTTTGATCTATATTTATCATATGTTGATTGTCTTTGGTGGATTAGTGCATAAATAAAATGTTTATATAATTTTGCTTGAACGTTTCCTTGTATCTATGTATAAACTGGTTTACATAACAATCTCTCGTAAGGCCACACTGATTTAATTTTATGGATGACATCCTCTGGAGACCCCAAAACCAATGCGAGAGGGCGAAAAAAAAAAAAAAAAAAAACTGCCAAAAAAAAAAAAATGCTGCTAAAACCACGGGACTACGAAGCTGGTATTACGAATTGAACCACAGAACACAAGGTATCAAAAAACAACAAGAAGTCTTTATTTGTAGGAGGCACATGTTGATATACACATCTCGTACTGTATTACTGTCACAGGTATAACCATTTCAGACAAGCTCTAGTACATGTAGTCATGATGAAGTACCTTCAGTCAAAAACACTGCATTCAAGGTACAACATGAACATCATTTTCAGTACAAGTCAAGGCGGAATGTACATATCACTACTTTATGACAATAACTAACAGAACATTGCAATGATACAGAAATGTCCTTGCTTACTCCTCTCTACACAGTAACCAATCTCTCGTATAGCTGTGTAAACGTCACAACTCCCTGGCCGACGTCAATTGCGTACCAGTCTAAAACAATCCCTCAGTTTTTTCTCTGAACTTGTATGCTCACGTATTCCCGGCAACGCAATACGCATGTGCAGAAGATCATTTACGACAAAATTGGCACGTTTTAAGATAGTCCAAAAAGAGTTTTACGACAAGCCGGCGCTTTGCGACAATATAAGTCGGCAAGTTCCGGACAGAAAACCGATCTGTGGAGGCTCGTCGTCGGAGATTTTTTTTTTTTTTTTTGAGAACAGGCGAAAACTAATGCGCGCGTGGATGTCATCCATAAAATTAAGTCGGTGTAGCCTAA